TTACAGGGGTAAGACTATCTAAATTACTGCTATACTGGATTTGAATTAACCCGTTTTTCTTCTTTAGAAAGGAACCAGCACATAACATTCATCCCCAGGATGTCTCGGAACTTTTGACTATGCAGATGTAAGATTAAATGCACATTTTTACCGAAGACTGTTTCACATATGAGTTGACAACAGTTAACAAACACTTGTAACTCTTTCTGTTATGTTCCTAACATAAATCAAGCTATATAATAATAATAAACGTTATTTATTTTACAACAATTGCGAAGCAAGTTTTTCCAACTTATACCAATCACTCTTGTTGGCTCGGATGGAAGCAAGCGCGCTAAGGGTTTTTGTGTGTGAGGAATCCGGAGTACCCGGGGAAAACCCACGTGGTTGGGCAGGTGATCCCCATACCTTTTCACATCCATTCCGGGTATTGAACCCCGGATGGCTAGGTGAAAGCGAGATTGTTGCCACAGCACCACCCGACCACCAATCAAGCTATTTGTGTTACACGTGAGCTGTTAAAAAAACAAATAGTGATGACGCCCATACTTCACGCTTATCTCATTTTAAGCTTTTCATGAGAAAAAAAAATAAAAAATAAGTATTGTGTATTTTCTTTTTGAGGTGTCTGTAAGTTGTTTACTATTGTTTATGGCAATTACTTTGAATGCGCACATTCAGCATGAGAACAAATTATACAAATTTAGCAGGGGCTTTGGCCAACATAAGCAAGTTTCCATTATGTAATTCACTTCATAGGAAGAAGAAAAAAAATATATAAAAAAATAATAACAATGATCTTATGTAATTAGCTATATAATGAAAGGGTTTCTTCGCTTTTTGAACATTTCTAACGCCGCTGTGTCGTCGGCTCACCCACCTTAGTAGAACTCGCTGGAGCATTATGAATATGCAATTTCAACTCACCTAGATGGCAGACAGATTAGATAGCAAAACTAAACTGTGCATATTCATTTCCGTTTCTTCCTAATAAAACGGGAACGTCTTCAAGTAAACTCACTGACGTAGATATGGATATCCAATATCTCATAACATGATAACTAGAAAAGTCTGACATTACGTTATAGCGAAATCTAATGACTGTTCATGTCGATCCTACCGCCGTAGTGATTAATTTTATGGCTCGTTATTTCTTTGGTTCAGAATTGTACCTATTTTGCTGAGTGCTGAACATGATATTGATATCCCAAACTGCAATAAAACATTGCCATGTGCTATAATCTAGGATTGTAAAACCTTCGAATTCACATCTTTACGGTCATCATTTAGATCGTGTTACTTGTGCACATGTCTCGACATTATCATTAAATGCAATCACTGCATTTTTTATCAATGAAATCTAATTAATAACAGTTGTAATGATTTCAAACCGGTATCAACACATATGAGAAATACACAAACTTCCTGTTTTAGGTTCAGTAAAATATGTAATAAAATCATAATTTTTACAATTAGTTTCGCGCATGTGTGTTCATATACATGGAAGTCGGATAATACAATTTAACTTCTTTAGTTTAAAATGCTTTCGCGATGGAGGACATGTGATAAGTTCGTGTAAGATAAAATTTCATAAAGAAATATACTTTTGCGGAAATCAGGTACATTTACAGAACAGTGTATTAAGTACATCGCAAATTGAGCTACTGAAAAATCATTTATATCTGTAGAGGATGTTCGTTGATTTCGTGGGTAAACTAAATCCACCAATTGATATGTCTGTTTGATGCTCGTTAGTTTGTTTGTTGGTCCCGTTGTTATATACCCTGTTTCTCATTTACTAATGTGCCACTGCTCTCTTGGATTGAATTAAAGTTAGATGGTGGGTGCCGTCGATGAAGCTGATAACGCTTGTCCTCAAGCTAAGCCTTGTACTTTCAGGATTTTCGTGTAAATCTATGTTTTGATACTATTTTGCACTAGTTTCATTGTATATGAGTTTGGAGTATGATTGCTTTGACATGTTGGTATTTTCTTCTTGTTTTTTGGATTATGATTATGTTCATATGTTGGTATTTTCTCGTTGTTTTTATTTACCACATTCATGTTCTACTTTTTTGTAGACAATAAACACCCTAAATTAACACGGGGGTATTTATTGTAATTTTAAATGTCTCACCACGGCAGTAAGTGCTTCTGTTGATTCTCGTATGCTCTCCATCACCTATTTATGCCTATAGTTTGGATGACGTATTTGTTTAACCTACCCTCCCACTCCACGATAGTGTCGCACAAATGTGCACAAATTCTATATTATGTGTGGTTGTAAGGATGATTTTTTTCATGATATTTTGGTGCGTTGTTAGGTCATAACTACCATTTTGAACATTCTCTGTATTAAATCGTGAAGGAATTAAAGCAATTTTTCATTATACAATATACATTTTTCTTACCTATGTTTCTTGTAAGCATCAGATATGTTTTACACAATATTATTAATGTTTTGAAAGACACTAACAAACAATATTTGCAGATGTGTCATGAGATTAACAGAATCAATATGTTTTGGTCTATGTAATGTGTCATTACAACTACCTTTATTTGTAGGTAACAAGAAAGAAGAGAAACTAGCCAAGGCTGCTGAAATTGCACAAACAGGTTTGAAAATAAAACTATTTACACATTAACGAAAGATTATTGATTTTACAATTTCTCTTTATAGTTCGTTCATAATAGCGATTCGTCATACCTTTATATCATGAACGTATATACTACTCGAGATACCTGCTAAACAAAATCACAGGAGAGAAAAGAGCTGCATTAGCGTTTTGCAAATCGTGCTTATCTGTCTGTTGGTATGTCAGTAAACATACCTACAGTTGTGTGTAGCTGGCTGTCATGATAAACAAACAAACGTTCTATATCAACCCATATAACCCATTATAACCAATATATAAAATATTGGAAGGAGAGATTGCTCTATGCGGAAAAAGAGCTTATTTTGTCTATCAATCGGTCTCCATGACCTACATATAAACCGTATTCAAAAATACTCAAAACACAATTATTCTTCACCATCACATGAGAATGTGTTACAGTCACTATCTATAATATTTTTATCAACTGATACAGAACACACACATCCTCCCCACACTTACAAATGCCTATTTTTTGTAAATACATTTTCAGCCATACTTACTTACAACGTCAAACTCCTTTCGTGAAGGCATACTTCCGGTCACGATAAAACTACAAAACAGTTAATTTTCAACCTGTAAAATGTTTCCTTATATTTAGTTAGTTTTTGGTGATTGTTAGTCATTTTTCAAAGGACAGCTTGCACATTGGTAACTTTTGTTAAAAAGAGATAATATACATGTAAATAATAAACCGAGAGTATCTGTTTACAGTAACAAACTTCAACACTCATTAGTTAACTTACTAACTCAGGTGTCTAGAATTACATATCTGGAAAGTTTTGTTCACTTTTTATAGTAATCATTAATTTCTTTTACATAATTTCCTGTTTCGTTTATGTGTGGTTGTTCATATGTCGACATCAGAGGTTTGATAATAATGGATCAAACGTCCCTAGCCTCCCCTATAAAAGGGAATATGTATCAAATGCGTCTGGTTTACAATGACGAAAGCCAGAAATCGCAACAGAATCTCTGATACTGTCAATATAGTTGATAAACCGTTCGCAAAATGATAGAGGATGCCATGATGAATCAGGATATTCTTATTCAATTCACAAGGGAGATCGTATTTACATTTTATCCTTTTTAATTAGCTATCTCCATTATCATGCCATCATATCATAGAAAACCAGACACAGCAGTAGATAAAATGTTTAGCACGGTGGCGCTGCATAGTGTTAAAATCATTGTAGGCATACTGGATATCAGCAACGTACATCCTACACACGATGACATGCTTAGAAAACTTGAATTCCCATTCAATGACATTCCTTAGTGCATAATTTTTCAAATAGTAATAGACAATGACATTCCATGGTTAACAGGAAGTTGTAGGAAATGGCAAGCCTCGGTAAACAGGACGTCCTGTCTATCAAACTTGATTCGTATATCATTTTAGTTATGCGTCCGCCAAATGGTTTATAAAACGCTTCGATGACAGGCAGTCGTTTCTGTAGATTATGCGAGAGCAATGGCAATGGACCTTACACATGTATTCCTATCATTCTCGTTAGCCATTTTTCAAACGCTATCAAAATACTCGCGAAAGCACGTGTTTTTTTTTCACTTTGGAAAATAGAATAGCTCGAGTGATAGAAATACCATATACATCAACAATGAGTTTGTGACACGTGTTTCTATCCCACAACAAAGCTGTTTCATCCATTCGGTATCCTCGGGTGTTTGGTTTACGTTATCAGTCCGGTCGTGTTGACATGACCTGTAGTAAAATGTCACTAATTAATATGTAAATTCGGATTACGATAATCAACTAACGGGTTTATTATCAACAAAGCAATAAATTATAAGAAATTCCCTTTGAAAATTAAACCCTTAAAATCATTATTGAAAATCATCAAACATATTCGAATTTTAGTGTTGATACCCATCCCCAGTGAAATGAGTACTATAAGAACGAAACAGCGATATGATGCTTTCTACGCATTGTATGTATCTAATTCAAAACGTGTATGAAATCGGCAGATGTTTCTTGAACACAATTTCGGTTTTTTAGCATTGATCTCGACCATTTCAAATCTCCTCGATCATTTCCTATATCAAGGCCCTAAAAATCTATCTGTACTAGCCTCAGGACAAAGCACGTGAATAACACGATTACTTCATTATTTGGCATTACCGTAACTATGAAATTTCAGGACAATTTCACTTGTACAGTATCAAACAATCTTTTTAAAGAGTATCCATGTAACATTCTTGTAGTTATATTTCACTATTGCATTATTGATCATGAATGAACTTAAGAATTTTAACAAAAAATGTTTGATATTACTTTATAAACTTAACAACTATGTTTCTTTTGCCGTTTTCAGACATTCATCCAAGATGAACGAATCCATTACAACAGCGATACCTGACAATTCGTCTCTCCCTTTCTATAACGGTTCACTGGATTATTATGACTATGACCTGACATCAGATGACGAGAACTTTCTACATTTGATAAAGATAGTTGTATCGATTGTTTTCAGCCTCATTGTCATTATCGGTTTTGTTGGAAACTTACTAGTTATCATCGTCGTAGTCTCAAATAAAAAAATGCAAAACACGACCAATATCTTGATAGTGAGCCTGGCCGTCGCTGACTTATCATTTATAATTTTCTGTGTGCCTTTCACAGCCACGTTGTATACAATGTCTCGTTGGCCTTTTGGAGACGTCTGGTGTAAAATCGTCCAATATCTAACTTACGTGTGTGCGTATGCTAGCGTGTACACCCTCGTGCTGATGTCGCTTGACAGATATCTGGCCGTCGTTCATCCAATTACATCCATGCGCATCCGCAACAGTCGCAATACCTACATGATGGTCTACCTAACATGGATTATAATGCTTGGCGGCAACATACCGGTCATCTTCGAATTTTCTCATAAAGAAGTTCCTAACAGCAACAGGTCTATCTGTGTGGATATCGATTTCTTCAAAAGTGATTACCTCGCTTCGCAACCATTTTATGGATGTTTCTTTGCTTTTGGTTACGTCATACCACTGACACTTACCTGCATTCTGTATGGTTTCATGATAAAACGGCTTCTTTACGGCGTAGTACCTGGCGGAAGCCAACGGCCTGACAGCATGAGGACGAAAAAACGTGTTACCAGAATGGTGGTGATAGTTGTCGTTATCTTCGCTATTTGTTGGCTCCCGATTCAGATAATATTTGTTATGATTAGTTTTGGAATGATTGGAATGGACTCTAAATTTTTGATCGGAACAATGATAGCATCGAATTGTCTGGCTTACATGAACAGCTGCGTCAACCCAGTTTTGTATGCTTTCCTGTCCGAAAACTTTCGTAGAAGTTTTAGAAGATTGTTGTGTTGTGCAAGCGACCCTCTCAGTAAGTTTGAATATGAACGGACCAATGTACGTGGAATTGAAAAGGAGTCAAAAGAAACACTCCTCAACAACACCAGTAAAACAACTGTTCCAAACGACTCAAAGGATAAGAATAGTAACTCTGAAAACGCTATTCCTCTTCAGACTTTAAATAAGCTTTAGCTAAATGAAGACTTATTATCAGTTATTATATTGATAGAGACAAATGAAAATAAGTACTTAATTAAATGCATATATGATAATTTGGCTAGACACCGATATCTATAGGATTTGTTAATCTATTCAGATCATAATATTGCTGCATTTTTAAAAAGAACACTTTTTCTCAACAAAACAGTTATTTCCCCATAAAGCCCCGACGATTAACGATAATGAAATTATGTCGAATTGAAAAATATAAATCATATGTCTGTAGCTAAATTCGTCAGTCTATACATAAAATCATAATGATGGAGTTGATTGTCAGTTGTGTAAAATTGCGTACGATTTGCAGTTATACGTATGTTTTGTATATAACTTTGATCTTGTAAAAGAGCGTACGACATATTCAAGACATCGGTTCTACGTCTTATACATATAATGTTTGTATGTATATTATCATAATTCACTGGCCATTACAAAGACATTTTGCTCAATGGGAGAAACTAAACATTATCGTAGCTGCTTGCATAGGAATTTTTTATGAAGACCATCACGAAGGAGATTAGAAATAGTTCTTAAACCTTCTTCTGAGAACGAGCGTAGTGTAGTGATACTTTGGAATACTAAGCTGAGTAGAAATATAGTAAACAAATGTATAGGACAAACATGAAAACATGCGTTATTGGTCATTTTGGAAGTATATTACTGTTTCTCATGTTAGATTTATCTCTATCATCGAAATTTCAACGAATCAGGTTCTGTCATAAAGTAACACGAGTTTGATTGTTCACTGGTTACGATCTCTACATGATGTGAAATATTGTTTCATTGTTTTGTGTAAACATTTACGCTATAATATGATCGTATTTCAAAACAAATTCATATTATCATTATTGCATTCATTATATAAATGAGATACGTATACGTTTCAACAAATTTCAATATCATTGATATGAATTTTGTTATTCATGCTAAAACAACCCACGGGGAATGATGTCATAATATTTATGACATAATTACCTTGCTATCACTTTATGATTTTACATAAATATTGTTCCACTACAAGACTTAGTTGCAAGGTTGTTTTGTTCGTTTTCCAAGTAAAGTGATCATACTTCTTGAATCGATTCATTCCCATCCCATTAGTTTATGATCAATAACATAATGTACAAACTCAATCAGGTTTAAATGAATATAGATCATAACTATTCATAGTAACACTGTCACACAGCATAACTTGTGAAATAAAAAAGACCAGTTATTAGCCGGTTTAAAATTCGACGTTCTGAATAGGTTTTGTAACAATATGTTGCTAACTAAAGATGATACGGCCCCAATATGGTACGTATCATATGTTTTTCTCTGACGTAGGATCTGGACAGTATCACGGGGTCCAGAGCACAGGAGTCGAGAGAACGGAAATGACGTCAGAAATGTGAAGACTTCAAAAGATCAGCCATCTTCTAAATTGCAAGCTAAGGTTTCTATATTTCATATCGATATTGTCAACTCCTTTGCTTTTAGATTTAGATTCAGAAATGTCTTTCGGCTATGGGCTCTATAATACAATTAATATTTTAAAATTGAAACTTTATTGATCTTTCATTTTTGAGTTATCAAAAGTCAACGAAAACGTACGATTTTGTCATCTTGTGTAAAGTATTTACGAAACAACCTTCGAAACAGTTTTGCGATTTATCGTTTTAATGGTCATAGTAACATCAATATATCTTTACACGAAATGTACCCATTCGCCCATACCAATGAAGCATTATAGGAAGCCGAACGGCATAGAGGTTAAAGGTATCAATCGCCGTTTTGTAGTTTTCATTGTTTAGATAGAATTGTCCTCAAAGTTTTTTGTGAATCCTTCTACTAATGTAATTACATTTATTTTGAATTCGTGTTTGCACTAATTAGAATCACATTTTTCTTAAAGGTCAAATTCCACCACAGAACAATATCGAATAAATGAGAAAATGAGTTTTATGTATAGCTGTATAGCTCAAGAAATGGAATTGACTCAGTTTATACATTAAATTTTAGTTCCGTACGTGGCTTTACACCACATCTTTATAACATATATTTTACAGCAATCAGTATACGATCTTATTATCCTGCTCGTTAATGTGATTCGCGTACCGTACGGTTTCTTTTGTTTTGTTAGATCTCTTCGGCGGTCTAGCCTGCAGAAAACTAGTATAATAATTCTGTATAGTTAATATCTTACATTACATTTTCTTGATCACAAAAGTCAATTCATCAGCCAGGCATCAAAATGTGTTCTTCTTTTTCTTCCTTTTTCCTTTTATTTCTTCTCTTTTTTCATCAAAAAGACATCTTTTCAATATTTCCATTTTTTAAAAACTAATTGACAGATTATTTTATTCATTGAAATATTTGTACTATAGTTTAATGGAGTGGATGTTTGTTTATGTTGTTAACCGTTAAAGTGGAATTTTTTGCGCGTTAAATTTTTAATTGTATTTCTTCTAAATATTATTACTTATTTTTAAATCTTTACTTAAGCATAATTCATAATTATTCCAATGCGGAAAAATCTGCAATGCAAAAAATTCTACTTTTACCAGTTTGTCATGATTCCAAATGAATTTTCGTTCCCGACCCACGTCAAAATTGATATTGTTAGCGAACCCTGATTGGAATTTTTTTCTTCATTTCAAAATAAGAAATACTCCAAAGTGACCATATCAGATTCTTTAATTATTTGATATCATATCGATATCATCATGTTCATTATAAAAATTAATACGTGTTCAGGTTCATTTTCCCATTCTGTTGTACACGATCTTGGGGTGTTTTGTTTAAACGCTTCAAACGTGTATTTCTCCTTTTAATAAACTTAACATAGTTTGCAGCATGTGAAGTTATGAAATGTATTTAAATGCAATCCTGTCGGAATTTGATTTCAACATTCAATGCCACTATTTGTCATCATTTGCATGAGAAGTTTACCAGATAACCATTATTATCCCAGACAAAAATTTGGTCAGTACGTGACTTGTTCAGTGAATGAGAAAGTAGTAACATAGATGTTTAATGATATTTTAGTGTAATTACATCATTATTATATATAAAACCATATATGTGTATTAATCCATTGCTTTTATTCCACAGATTATCATCACCTCATGTTATCAAGTTTATTTACTTAACTCGTCAGTTCAATATGTTTAACATTCTAGATATAGAACAAATGTTGAAATACAGTATATATTAGCCAGAAAATTGTTTTCTTTGTCAATACGTTTCGAGTTATCTGGCTTAAAACGCGTTATTCAATCCATAATGAATTGCCACAAGCTTCCATCCCATGATCCATATATGTGTATTATAATGACAAGTCCCCAAAGAAAAACCTACATATACATAAAGCAAGTTTTACCTTTCTAATGAGTGTTTAACGAACGAGACAGGTCTGATATAAGCCTAGTTTTGACCTGATATGATGTTTGTAGAAATGTAGATATTCCTGGTCTGTTGATTTGTCCTTTCGTCTCAATGACTTTGCCGAAATCACAAAATCAACGTGCCATGACCGTGTTTACAGATAATTAGCTTCATATTCATAATTCTACAAATATTTCATAAGTAATCAGGTCAAACTTGGTCAATAACTTGCCAATTTCGTTCACCAAATATTCATTGGCAAGAAACAAACATTTCTCTAAAGGTAATGTATGTATTACGAAGAATATAAAGAAACAATATTGAAAAAAATATTATTCAAGTCTATTTCTCTTGAGTTATAACAATATTTATTATGTAATACATATGCAAATGTACATGGATCATGGATTGGGTATTTGTCACTGTGATTCAACTCTATTGTTTTCGATCAAAATTTTTAAAAATGCTTATGAGGTGATTGTTTGACCATGTTTATTCACCATTTGTATAAACAACATTGTGATTACCTCTTTTGGTTCAAATAATGATACACGAATTTTTAACGTCATAAAGTATAACTGGCTGGAACACTATTTCATGACGTTTCATTACAAAATCATGATAGTTATATGTGTGATAATTGTATATTAGATATTCTTGATATGCTTAGACTATATATCATATATACATATATAAATATATACAATGAATGTTCTGCAGTTGCAAATCATGACAAAATCACATAGTATTGAAATCATCTTGACAACGCGTTCGCTTGCAAATTATCAAGTGATCCGTATCCCTGTATCAATTACTTATCACATCATGGTTCTGTGTTTTGGTTGGTGGTTTTTTTGTGAAATAAAAATATTGAATTAAAAAACTATTATTCTAGTTCTTCATTTCTTTAAAGAAAATATTCCAAATAAATTTTGATCGTGTAAAACACATGCATTGACTCGAGTAGGTCAATAGTTGAAAGGTTAAGTGTTTTATCTAATAAGTTCTGCAATGGGACAAAATTGAGAGATGTGATGTTAGCTATAAAATAACGCAAATTAGCATTCTATTGTGTTTTCCACGATGATGTTGGACGAGATACATTGTTTACGGTATAAGCATATGGTATTAGAGAGAGTTTACGATTATCGTCAAAGGAGCAACTTCGTTCAATTTATAATACTTATTCTGGGGATTATTGCTGTTGCAAATTTTGTGTTAAAATAATAATCGTCTGATTAAAAAATGAGTGATGAATTATCTAGTATAAACAATATTATCCAGTTATGCGTGGCGAATACTCTATCTTTTATATTTCTCATCTCTCTTCGAATACTACCCTTGTAGACAACAGAGAATGACAGAAAATTACACTTAATCTGAGAAAAATGGACTGAAACTACTACCAGAAAGTCCCTTCAGTCACGATTGTATAATAGTTTTCTTAAATCCCAATGAACTACTTCGCTATACTATATCTAAGCCTTTCTACCTTCTCAGATTAACATCTGCTTGTGACAATTGCAAATTCATCTCATAAGTTCCAAGATTTACATTTATTTCGAGAACGAGGAAAAGAAAAACCAAAAAATCAACGAAACCAGAAATGA